GGAGCCTTCGAGCCGCACTTCTTCCAAGACAGATGTGTTTGTTCTCCTGGAATCAGTGGTACACTCAATATCCTTCCCCAACACCATAATTCCAAGGCATCAACTCCTTTTCGGTCTTTCCTCATTGTCCAGCTCTCACGTTGGCTATTGTTGTGGTTAGATGCCATCGATCAGCTCAGACTTGCAGCGACCCCGTGGCCAACAGAACCAAGTGCTGCCCGGCCCTGCGCCGCCCTCACACTCCTGCCATGTCTGAGCCCGTGGTTGTAGCCACTGTGTCATTCCCTCTCGTTGAGGGCCTTCCCCTTGTTCACTGACCCTCCACTTACTAGCCACGCTACCCTGCTCCAGGGAATGGTCCCTTCTGACAGCCAGGGATAGAGGGAGTTTTTGTTTGGGCACCGAGTTTATGCTGAAGGTGGCGGAAAGTTTTGAACAAGAATAGTAATCCTGGTGCAACCAAAAGTTTAACCAATGTCGTGGGGTTTGTCAACCTGTTATCTTCTTTGTTATTGGCTTTTTCTCAGAGATTAAGAATTACAGTGTGGAGGAGTTTTAATTTGGGGTCACAAGGCACAGATGATAACCCTAGAATTTGAGAGTAGGGAGAGACGCTGTTCACTGCATGGCCTGGAGCCCAGATCCCCAACCTACAGAAGAGCCTCCTCCTTGGGTGGAAGTTTTGCTGGAAGCCAGGGCTGTGTCCAGCCACCCTTGGAGACCCTCCCATACTCCTTCCATCTCTCTGAGTCCTTCTATCGGTTGAGTCAGGTGAGAAGTAAGTAGGGCTGGGAGAGGAGGCATGATTTGTTTCTGTTTTTTTGTTTATGTTAATTTTGGAAAGATGTCTGAGCAGAAGGTGTCAGGAGTGACGTAACCCTTAGTCACTGCCGCCTCAACACTCCTGCTCTGGGTCTGCATCTCACAGATTCATCGACAGTCTGTATTGGGGTTTGTCTGTCTTCCATCTTTGCTCTTACGGGTTTTAAACGGTGCGTGAGGTCAGCGTGGAGGAGAGGTCAGGTGGCCATGCAGAGAGCGGCCCATCAGCCAGAAGAGCAGCCCCAAGTCGACAACAGTCCCAAGTTTTAAATGTGAAAGTTGCACTGGGGGGATGTTTTGGTGTGTGTGCCTTCACCCCACAATGCAACAGGGGAGAAAAGGACAGCTGCTCGGTGGAGGAAGTCAAATTCCCCGAGCCGGGCCCTGGGGCACTGCAGGGGTGGAGACCCTGGGCGGATGGCCCAAAAGGCCTCTTCCTCTGGCAGCAATTAGAACTGGGTGGGGGCCCCCTCTTCCGCCCTCACATTGGCCCTTGAAGAGGGGCTTTTCACCCATGATCCGGGTCAGCTAGGGAGGTGGGGTGGACATGGGGGACTGGACCTCC